GATCGTTTTTCATGATCGAACGCGGTATTTCTGTACATGGTTCTGTTCATAGCCTAGGCACTAGTGCATACCTTAATGCATAGTTCGGTGCATAGATGTGTACATGATTTAGTACATAGTTCTGGATTACACTCTCTCTCCCCACTCTTTCTCTCTCTCTCTCTCTCTCTCTCTCTCTCTGTCTCTCTCTCCCTCTCTCTTTCTCTCTCTCTCTCTCTCTCTCTCTCTCTCTCTCTCTCTCTCTCTCTCCCTCTCTGTTGCTCTCTCTCTCTCTCTCTCCTCTCTATCTCTCGCTCTCTCTCTCCCTTCTCTGTGTCTCTTTTTCTCGTCTCAGCCACGGTGATGAGCAACGACAGGCGGCGCAGTAACGAAGACGTACGATCCCCACATTTCATTTAGTCAATTCTACAGGGAGAAGATGTACAGATGTGCAATGAGAGAGAGAGAGAGAGAGAAAGAGAGAGAGAGAAAGAGAGAGAGAGGGAGGGAGAGAGAGAGAGAGAGAGAGAGAGAGAGAGAGAGAGAAAGAGTGGGGAGAGAGAGTGTAATCCAGAACTATGTACTAAATCATGTACACATCTATGCACCGAACTATGCATTAAGGTATGCACTAGTGCCTAGGCTATGAACAGAACCATGTACAGAAATACCGCGTTCGATCATGAAAAACGATCGAGTTTATATCCAGTGTAAGCCCGAGAATGTAATCCGAAATGTTTTACTGTAGGCAGCAGCAGCAGCAGGAGCAGCTTCCAGGATCATAAAACCGAATTGATGCGGTTGGCCATGACAACAACACATAACGACGCTGGAAGCAAAACCCGCAGCACGCGCGTTATTCCTAGCGGAACAAATACATTCCTCCCGCGCAGGAAGAAAACAATGAAAACCAGGGACACAATGGAGGAAAACGGGAACAAAGAACAATAGAAGCGCAGAAAACAATGAGAAAGAACAAACAACAATAGAGTGTTGGCTTCACTCGCGCCTCCTGTTCTCCTTGCTCATACATCACATACATACATCCCCGCGTATCGGAGAGGAGGGGGCTTTATTTATAATTACGCGAGAAATGTCGTGGAGGTGTCAAAAGTATCGAAGTGTGTGTGTACTATATATGACGAGCAGTGCGTGCGTGCGTGCGTGTGTGCATGCATGCATGCGTGCGCGCGTGCGTGCATTCGCTGCACGACCATGAGCCTACTAGCCCCTGCACCACTAACGCCCTACTGCGCTATCCATCACCTACGCACATCACCATACATTTGAATTAAAGCAGTACCACATAACCTGTATTTTTGGGACTTCAGAAACATCTTACGTGGTTATGCCACTGTATAATAACTTCTGAAGTGAAGTGTCATGCAAAAGTTGTGACATTTTCGACGTATGACAGTCATGTTTCTGGCAACGAACACCACACGCCTCGAGGAAAGCCTAACTCACTAATAACTCAACTATCGCCGGACCATGGTAGGAAATACATCCATCGAATTGAACATCTGGATTAAGGAGACCCTGATCCCGACAGGGCAGTGAGACTAACATCAAATACACATGTCCTTTCGACGTGTGACCGTTTCTTGTAGCTCTTGGAGCTTATTGGAACGTTCTCAGAGGTCCCGTGGTGTCAGAAACAAAATTAGTCTTAACATTAGTCTTAACATTAGTCTTAACATACTCACTCTCGTAACTCATAACTTTTTCTCATAGACGGTTGCCAGAAAGATGGTAAAGTTACGAGTTTCTCAGGCACAGTGTATAGAGGTCCGGTCTACGAGAAAAGATTAGGGTTAAGACTAATGTTAAGACCAATTTTGTTTCTGACAACGGGACCAAGGTGGCCACTGCACAACGGACATCGCATTGAGCAACAATCGACAGATATTTAATCGCTGTGGCTATATGCCCGGGAGCCGGGCACGGTCTTCGATTTCCTAAATGCCCGGCAGTTCCTAACCATAACTCTAACCCTAACTCTAACCCTTGTTTACTTGAGATAACGCTGAAAATTAAAAACTGCCGGGCATTTAGGAAATCGAAGACCGTGACCGGCAGCCGTCAGATATATGCAGGCTGCCGGGCATATAGTCACTCTGATATTCAATACTACGTAACTCGCCACGCCCGCCCGTCCGCACACATACTCACATTCGATACTGATCCGCTGCCGATGTGGAAGTCTCCATGGTGACGCCACTAAGCTGTCCGCTTAAAAACCCGCACGATAAACAACAACAACAACAGCAATAACGACGACGACGACGACGACGACGACGACGACGATAGCACCAACTGAGATATCAGTATTGTTCGCAGACTCGCCTGTTCCGGCTCCAGTTACAGATGGGAAGCTTACAGGGGTTAATAGCCGGGCACTTTGCCACCCACTGTTCACCACGCGTCTTCGGCGCCTACCATACTCTCTGTCAATACAAAACTTTGCTCGAAGGTACACACACACATACACACACACACACACACACACACACACACACACACACACACAGGACTCGGGTAAAAATGGAAGACTCTCTGAGATCACTCGTGAGGGGACAGTTTCCCCTCAGCTAATACTCGAACAAAATTTATGACAAACGTGATACGCACTCCTGCACCACCACCTCCACCTCCACCACCTCCTCCTCCTCCTTCTTCTTCTCCTGCTGCAGCTGCACCGCTGACGAATACACGCCGACTGAGTCTAGCGCTGCTGGGAGCCGCTGGCAAACTAAATGCGCGCGTTCCTATTGATTTTCCGCTCTCCCAAACAACGCGCTACCGAGAGCATCCAGAGCGCCTCTTCCGCATCTTCCGCGCGAGCTGCAGCGGCGCTGCCGCAACCAGGGTAAGCCCCAATTGAATGAAGTTCAGGCGTGTCTATACTAGTCGCGGAGAGATGGCGGAGGTTCGCCGAAGAAGTGCGAGTGAAAGAAAATCCGTGCTGGAGGATTGACATCGGAAACGCGTACGGTGGGTGACTCACGGAGGGCATAGACAAGCTATCGATGTCATTACCAGGGCACGCACTCATCACTCACACTCACTCACACAACAGTAACAACGTACGCGAGCAGGCGCGCGGTGTAGCAATTAATAATTATAAAATGATTATTACACACTAACGCGCTATACTAGTTTCGGTCCACTGACTCCACTCCCTCCTGCAGTACTTTTTCAGAGAAGTGAGATAGAGATGGTAAGAGGGGAAGAAAGAGAGGGTGAACGAGGGAATGAAAGACAGCGAGCGAGATAAAGTGCGAAAGGAGATAAATAGATGAGATATGAGAGAGAGAGAGAGTAACAGCAGGCAAGAGAAAGGCCGAGCTAGCAGGGGTGAGAGAGAGGGTGAGAGAGAGGGAGAGAGAGAGAGAGAGAGAGAGAGAGAGAGAGAGAGAGAGAGACGCGAGAAGAAGAAGAGAGAGAGAGAGAGAGAGAGAGAGAGAGAGAGAGAGAGAGAGAGAGAGAGAGAGAGAGA